AGGATATTGAGGTTTCCAGCAGATAGTTTCAAGGATAAACTGATATTGTCTTCTTGACAGCAATACGGAAGTGGTTTCTATTGCCTTCTTCTTATTTTTTTTTTACTTCCCACTTTACTCTTTAGCCCAGACATTTCCTGGTGGTGTTTGTGTATGAATGTGTGTGCATATTCATACACACTCATATACACATCATCCCATTCTTGAGAGTCTTATTATATTATTTAATCCAATTTTGGAACTGCCCATCTTCCTCGCAGAGGAACTATGGGTGGTATACGAATAAAATATTAAAACATAAAAAACAGTGTATAAAATTTAAAGAATAGAATGGAATGGAATGGAATAACTTTATTGTCATTTTAATCAGCATACATTAAAATGAAATTTCATTGCATTCAGCTTTCAGATGATAACCACCTCCAATATACACTACTTAAACAGGCAAGGGAGGCAAGGGTGATTGAAATCCAATGTTAAAAATCAATTAAAAGGCAGAGGGAAGGCTTTCAGGGTGCTAACCAGCCCGACAACTGTGTGCTCCTCTATGCATCCCAGGCAAGGCCATAGAGCCATGTTTTCACACCTTTGTTTACATTTCAATAGATTTTATACTTCTAAAGCTTCATAGTAGTGAGAAGTCCTCTGGAACTGGTTTTCTTTATTTTTTCTGTTTTGTTCCTTCCACCAACTTTCTCTTCATCCAACCTCCAGGCAAGAACTGAGCAAACAGATGAGAGAATCTGCCTATAAAAATTCATGGGGGTTTGGCGAATAGTTCATGAGGCATTCACAATAGAGGGGTGGTGGTGGTAAAGAGTCTGATTGATATGGCCATACTCAACACACAACTACCCACATTATGGCTTAGCACAATGTATAAACCACTGTATTCAGAAAAAGGCTCTTATCTCTGCACCTTCCTGCTCCTGATCCGCTCCAGAAAGCCTCCAGATATCTAGACAAGAAATTGTGCCTCAGACACAATCTATAATTTGGGTTCATTTTTTCCATATCTGAATGGCTGTGCCATGAATATCTAAGTACTACCCTTAGCACAGTGGTGGCAAACCTATGGCACGGATGCCAGAGGCGGCACTTGGAACCCTCTCTGTGGGCACACGTGCCATTGCCCCAGCCTCTCCTCCCCTGCGACCCCCTCCTCTCCAGCAACCCCCCTGAAGGAGAGTCGCCCCTGAGCGTGGCCCACTCGGAGCAGCACAGCCAAGGACATGGCAGCCAGGCAGCGTAGACAAGACTCTGCCCTCACCCCCCATTGTGCACAGTTGATGTTGCAGGGCGTGGGGAGAGGGCGTGGCCGCCCTAGTGCTGCTGAGTTGCCTGGGCGATCTGCAGCGGGCCCTGGAGGCGGTGAGTGGCCCTTCAGGCAGGTGGCGTGGGGGATGGGGGGCAGAGTGGGGGCGGGACAGAGGGTGGAGCAGGGGCGGGACCAGTTTTTGGGCACTCGGTCTCTAAAAGGTTCGCCATCACTGCCTTAGCACATCCATTTCCCCCCCCCCTCCAAAAAGGAGACTTCAGACATCACTGGAGGTTTTAAAGAGGAGATTAGGCAGTATTTGTTGAAAGAGTATAGGGCAGTGGTGGCGAACCTATGGCACGGGTGCCAGAGGCGGCACTCAGAGCCCTCTTTGTGGGCATGCGTGCCGTCACCCCAGTCCTAGGCCTTCAGCTGGGTTTTATAAAACCTTTTTGCTTTAGGCCTCTGCCGCTGTGTGCAAAAAAAAAAAAAGGATCAATCAGTCAATTTCAACTTCTCGTGGGAAAAAAAAAGATCTTGCAAAGTTGGAATTGATTGATTGAACTTTTTAGTCCCACTCAGTCTGCCGTTACCACTGCAGCTACGCCCACCCAATGGGCCACATCCACCTAATGGGCCACACCCACCTGGCACCCGATGATGCATAAGTGGGTTTTGGGTTGCAGTTTGGGCACTCGGTCCCTAAAAGGTTCGCCATCACTGGTATAGGGTCTCCTGCTTGGGGTTGGATTAGAAGACCACCAAGGTTTCTTCCAACTCTATAAGTTCTATAAGACCAGCCAAGGCAATGAACCGACTCCAGAAAAGTCCTCCATGTGCTGTGGAGACTTGTGACTGTGTTGCAAGGTGACAAAAGTACAGCTGACAGGGTGTATAAGGATTTTGAGGTGACTCAGACAGAGCCTTTGCCTGATTGTACCGAAAGACCCAGAGGCAATAAGAGTTATTTCATCCAGAACAGGACTGCAAATACTACTAAGCCTTCATTTCCCCAATGACAAGATGCCTGAGAAAAGATTAGCAGACTCCGGTTTCACCAAAATAAAAAAAAAACCTTCTCTGTACTCAAGGACACCCTGTCAATATCTCTACTTGGTGTTAAGTACCTTCTGTTGTCTCCTTTAAGACAGGATGTCTCCTTTCCTCCATTACACACTCCTGCTAATTGTGCATTTTGCCTTGATTTATTTTTATCACCTATCTCCTCTGCTTCCTGCATTTTCAGCTAGTTTTCCACAGTTTTTGCAAATGGTTACAGGAGAGTGAATTGTTCTCAGTTCTTTTCTACAAACATAGACTTATTCAAAGGAGTTTGTTTGTTGGGGGCAGGGAGCTGTGGGGCCGTTTTTTGAAGGTTTATTTTTAATTTTCATCCTGTACCTCCACGCCTGTCATTTTTTTCTCTGAATACTTGAATAGTTTGTTGTGAAATCCTTTGCAGCTGCAGAGATCAGAGCACCTGACATATTTAGTTTAGAGGCAAGAAGACAAAATTTCATTATCCTCAAGTAGCAGAAAGCCACCACTAAGGAGAGGACAAGAGTATTTAATCTTAGCTATCCCACACAACAGGATTGGATTGAACAGTAGGAAAAATGTATTGATAAAAGGTGGTGGGTTCTCCCTGATTATTTCCTCAGTCCTCAGTCAATGTCCATCAGACAACGTGTAAGCCACTTACACTCTGAATTTTGTGAATTGAATAGCTGTATTTTAAAGTTTTATTTTAAAGCCTGGACCTGACCAATCTCATTATTAAATTATGATGCCAATATTTAAATTTTTTCTTGTATTGGGTTAACAAGGAACTATGGAAATATTTGAAAAATTAGGAGGTAAAATTTATTTTAAAATAGTTTTTTTATACTCGACATTTAGCAGACTATATTTTTAAATGTATACTTTTTAGACTAACAAATGGCTAATGGCTTGCAAGACTGTTGATATATTGTTTGTTACTTATGTGAGTTAATAAATCAGCTGTGTTTATGAAAGAAATGGCATACAAGAAAGTTACCTTATTTATGAGGAAAGAAAGGAAGGAAGGAAGGAAAAGAAAGAAAGGGAAGGAAGGAAGGAGAGAGAGAGAGAGAGAGAGAAAGAAAGAAAGAAAGAAAGAAAGAAAGAAAGAAAGAAAGAAAGAAAGAAAGAAAGAAAGAAAGAAAGAAAGACACAAAATTACCAGTTACCATATATATGTCTTTGTTTTGCTTTTCCCACTCAACTTGCCCTGCTGGTTTTATCAGTTCAGATCCAATTGCTTTGGCCCACAAATGCAAGGATAGATATATGCTGCTTTGAAGAGTTGCTAGAAGCAATAAGAGAAAAAAGGAAGGCCATGCCAGTTTCAGCCCTAAGGGACTGCAGGCTTAATGACAGGTTGTTCTTATGGAAACTGTTGGGAGCTGCCAGACCCCCCACTGCTTCAGCAATCTTGAGAACAAGCGCACCTTGCAATGGAGAAGCTAGAGGGAGTTGGGAATTTTTACTCTCAAATGCCCACGTGAGAGTAGCGCCCTGCTTTCAAATATCTTATGTCACAGAGATTACGACCATTAGTGGGCTAATCCTGGTCTGTTATAGCTAAAATGAACAAAACATGAAGGTAGGTAAAAGAAAAACTTCTCTGCCTGCTGGGTGGAGTTGTTTTTAAAAACTTTATCAGAGTTCATTGCAATTACGCAATGGTGTTTGTGGCAAATACTAATAAAGTTTCGCTGTTAACAGTAAACAACTCCGGATATGCAGCATAGACATCAGGGCCCAGAACATTCAGAGGTGGCAAAAAGGAGAAAGGGTAGCTGAACATGTAGACTTCTTACTTTTCAATTGCCTGCTTTTTGAAAAGTTACTTTCATATACTGTAAGAGATACAAGGACATCATGTTTAACTGTGTATGCGTTTATTTGTGTTGGCTAAATATGGCATACAGATACTAAAGAGCCATTTACCAATTGGGATGACTGCAGCTCAGACCTGGTTCTGTGTTTTGGTACCTAAAGCCTTGCCTATTCAACCTGAGGCACTATATCAATAATAATAGCTAGGAAGCAGCTGCACTAATCCTGGTCTTCTGTGTCTAAATGTTTGGCTAGCTGAATATGCTCCATTGTTTGACCGCCACCTTTCTACCTGACTGGGTGTTAACAACACTGCCCCATATGCAGAAAAGCAGCCAAATTTGAAATTGTATGACTTTTCTGGTGCCTTCTCAGGGGTCATGCTGGCTGGAGTTGATAGAAACTATCATCTTAAAACATCAGATTATGAAAGGGTGATCCAAAGTTTCATAATGCCTCTACTTAGATCATAGGCACAATGGCATCCACTCTCAGTTATTGGTTCAGCACCTCAATATAGATGGGGGTGTGGAACATAGATACTGGAGGACCTGGAAAAACTGGCTCATGTTTTCTTTAAGATGGAATATATACTTTTCTTGCAATTGTTTGTTAAGATGTAGGTGGCCAGACAGAGGCAATACATCAATGCAGGTTAAAATTATTAGTTAAAATTAAAGCTGGGTGTGCTTTAGTAATAAATCTTCTACACAGCATTTGCTCGGTATTTTCAAATATTCCCACTCCAGCATTTGGGGTAATATTTGTGTAGCTTCCCAACTTTCAAGGAGTCCTCTCTGGGGAATAAAACAAGGTTGATGCTAGAGAAGCTGAATGATATAAATCAATTACTTAGTCATTTTTTTCTTTCTCTTTATAGTTCAAGTCTTGATTGATGGTGCACCCGTTCGTATCCAGTTGTGGGACACTGCAGGACAGGTGGGGCCTATAAGTAAAGAATATTTGCAGCTGTGGCTCAAATGCCATGCTAAGGATGATATCAGAAAAAAAATAATAAAAATAATTCAGTAAAAAAAATTACTGACATTCAGTAACAATCTACAACATAGTTCTGGCACACTTTACATTAAAATAATATTTCTGTATTGGAGAGGAGACACACAGTGTTTCCTTCTGGCAGGTTCTTGTGTGAAATAACCTTTGAACTGAAAATCTTGTAGTTGTATAATATGCTAAATATGGATGCAGTCTTGCATTCCTGAAAAAAAAAAGCTGGGTTATAAATCTAACAAACAAACAAAGTTTTCTTGTTTGTGTGACTTATGGCTTGCTAACTGAAATATATTGGGGTTTTTTTGCAGAAAGAATTCCTTTTGTGAAATATTATGTCTGGAGCCCCATGACTTTTTAAGAGAAGTATGAACTCTGAAATTTAATTGGGACATGAGTTTTGGATCTGATTGTTTGTGTGACTGAGAAGCCATTTTAATGGGCATTAAAAGTCTCTCTCTTCTTCAGTGGTCTAGTTAGTGAATTAACCTATTTTTGAAAACATAATTTGTTAACTAAGCCACAGTCGCTGTATTTACACATAACACTAGCCATCAATTGGGAGACCTTAATATTTTGGGAGCAAGGGGCACATCTGGGATTTTGAGAGTATGTTCTGAATATGCTCAGAGAATGGCTACCAGATGGGATATATCTGATTCACAAACATCCATTTTACAGAAGGCAAAATGGTGAAGTTATTCTCCACTCATCACCTGCCATATTCCTCCAGGATGTTTCTTAACACCTCAGCTTTTTCCTGTTTTTTGCTGGGCACATTCCAGATAAAGCACTTGGCTGTAGCTACCTACCGGTTTTATTTTCTAAGAATGCCTCTGGAGTTTATGAGCAGCCCAGGCTAGAAAAAAAATTGGGAATAAAAAAAAATGCATTCTTGGAAACTATATATGAGGCTGAAGATCATTGGCTTCCCATATATTAATTTCAATGATCAATGTTTCAAAAAATAAAATCTGAAGAACAAAACAAGGTTCCACAGGGACATTGATGTCCTATCTCAGTTAGGAACTCTGGCCATAAGCTGTAATGGTAGGGTTTACCCAACATGCTAAGCCAAAATATGTTTGGTTTGGTTTTAAGCTTAGTGTGATATGTGAAATGAACAATTAATTTTATATTTAGTGGCTATTAACTGGCTTAGTTTTCCTCTTAAAAGCACTTGGGAAAAACTCAAATAATTTCTAACCTTTATATGATTTTGTGGTTGAAAGTTGGAAAAGTTCAGCTTTGGAGTTTTGTGGCAAAGACGAGATTCAGTGCCTACTAAGTGCAATTGGTACAGTAAATGTTTGACACAAATTGATCTCCATGTTTCTTTTCCCTGTATAGGAAGACTTTGATTGCCTCCGCTCTCTCTGTTACTCTGACACAGATGTCTTTCTGGTTTGCTTCAGTGTTGTAAATCCCACCTCCTTCCAAAACATTACAGAAAAATGGATTCCAGAAATAAGAACTCACAATCCCCAAACACCAGTGGTGCTAGTAGGGACACAAGCTGACCTGAGAGATGATGTTAAAGTCCTAATCAGCCTGAACCGCTACCATGTAAAACCTGTGCCGAGAACGCAAGCAGAAGGCCTGGCTGAAAAAATCCGGGCTCAGACTTATGTAGAGTGCTCTGCTTTGACTCAAAAGAATCTGAAGGAGGTTTTTGACACAGCCATTGTTAGTGCAGTTGAATACAAAGCCCAGCAGGAAAAGAAGATGACAGCCAAAGGAATCAAAACTCTCTCTAAATGCCGATGGAAGAAATTCTTCTGCTTTGTCTGAAACTGACTCCAATAAGAGACATTTGTAACCCAAAGTAGCCTGGAGCATAATCTCTTGTTGGATTATGGTGAAACTTGCCTGGGAGACAAGACATAGAAGTGTAGCAATCAAATGGTCCATGCTACCTTCAAACATCTGCAATGGGATGGTCTGATGCTGATGTACTGAGTCCAGCAGCCAAGTTAATTTATATATATATATATTCCAGGCAAGATGACCAGTTTTTACAGCTTTTGAAGGCTTGACAGCATATTAATTGAACAAATTAATTAAATCTGGGAGTAGCAGTCCCAACTTGCCTACAGGGCACGAGAGCAGGGAAGGTTGAATGAAACTTGATTTAACGCTTCAGTTAAATAAATTTGAGAGTTATATCTCATTTTCAAGTTATAATAATGAATAGAGGGGTTTCTTGATGCAGAACTAAAACTTCCACTTCAGCCCTCTTAAAAGTAAAAGGAAAGAAAAGAAGCCCTCAAGATATAACTGAGGATTAATCCACGTTTGGGGTGAAGAGTGGCTATGTCACACCCTTAAAACAACACAATATTTCTCAATGAAATTATGTGGGGAAAATGCCTATGGCTCAAAAAAGTGCGATGTAGTGCTACTCTAAGAATATTTGGATTTACATGTGAAAAGCATACCACAAACTGAAATATTGTAGAAAATATGTAGCTAGATATGTTGGATGTTTGAGTGTGAAATAATTTCTGAACAGGAAATATAGTCTGGGCATCCACTGAAAAAGATTGATGCGGTGATTTGCTCTGATGTAAACTGTCTGTGTGAACAAACTTTCTGATTCTCTTTTAAACTCATCCTTAGAAAGTATTTTAGCCTAATCAAAGTTTAACCTGTTCAAACTAAGTTCAAGATTAGAAGTCCAGCAGCTCTTGAGTATGCATTTTTTTCCTCCCTAAATTATGTCCTCTTCATACAGTATATTCTTGGACTTTCCATGCTAGGCAAACTGATACTGTATTGCCTATTTGAATAAGATGCCATCCAGTACCATGCCAATAATGCTGTTTGGCTGGAAGGAAATGAGCAATTCTTGTTATATCAGGGATTGGGCCCTAAATCGTATTCCTTTGTATTTCACTGCTAATACTGAAGGCTTTAATGTTCCCTCCCTGAAACCTGTAGCAGAATAATCAGGTTTACCAAGTTAGCAATTAATATTTATGTTGTGTAACTATTACAGCAAGATGAAGTTTACATCTGAGATGGAAAGATAACCACACATTAAAAAGACTGAATTAAAAGCATGCCAACCAAATCTCAAAGGGAACGTATGACACAGTATTTTCCAAAATAATAAAGCAGCATCCCCAACCTGATGTTCTCTGCTGTAGGTACATTGGGATACAATGCTCATAAATCTATAGTCCAACTATGATGAATGTGTATAAAGGGGGAATAATCCAGCACATCTGAAGAGCATTAATTGAGAAGAACTGTTCTCCGGGCATTGATAATGTTGACTCCAAAGTGCTAGAGCAATGGTGGCGAACCTATGGCATGGGTGCCAGAGGCAGCACTCAGAGCCCTCTCTATGGGCACGCACACTATTGCCTCAGTCCTAGACCTTCAGCTGGGTTTTATAAAACCTTTTCGCTTTAGGCCTCCGCCGCCATGTGCAAAAAAAAAAAGTTCAATCAATCAGTCAATTTCAACTTCTCGCGGGGAAAAAAAAGTTGGAATTGATTGATTGAACTTTTTAGTCCCACCCAGTGTGCCGTTACCACCGCAGCCATGCCCACCCAATGGGCCACACACACCCCAATTGGCCACACCCAGCCAATGGGCCACATCCAGCCAATGGGCCACACCCACCCGGCACCCGACGATGCATAAGTGGGTTTTGGGTTGCAGTTTGGGCACTCGGTCTCTAAAAGGTTCGCCATCACTGTGCTAGAGAGTTGACCAATTCATGTTCTATTTTTGGCACGTGTGCAGAGCAATCACTGAAGAGGAGAAGGGTGTCCATTTCAATGGTCAATAAAGGAAAGAGGAGATTGCCACCTTTGACGGCACTCAGGTGTGGTAATGTTGCCATTTAAAATGATACAACACAAATTCTACTTTGAGTCAGATAAAAACTGAAAATAGAGGAGGAAAACAGATAAAATATGAGAGGATAGCAGAAAATGAAAAAGGGAAGAGGCATGTGATAGAAGAGGGAGAAGTAAGTGATAGGAGGGAGAAAGAGAGGGAGGGAGGGAGAAAGAGGGAGAAAGAGAAGGTACAAGGTAGGCAAAGAGAGGAAAGGAAAGCTATACAGGTTAATCCATCATGGATATTGGAGTTGAAACAAGCTTGTTGATCCTACACATTCTGTACAAATTATTTCCATAATTTGGAATGATATCTGAAGTCGTTTATACATTGGATCCTTTCCTAGGTATCCTATAAATGAATATAGATAGTTGAATCAAATATCAGTCATATTGCGAATCATATCCAAACCAGATATGAATGCTCAAATGTGATCATCATTCATCTCTACATCCTTTTTTGCCACAGGTATGTACACTGGGAAACTGAGCCATGACTACTCACCTTTGGAGTCTGCACAGAAATGTATCAATGTCCTGGAAATGTGTCATTGTGGAAACAGCCATTGAGCATTGCTCATTCCATGTGGCATACTTCAGTTTTGCTGTATAAAAATAAAATGTTTACAAGTGGGTCTTTATGCATTTCCAATGGGCATCACAAAAGAGTCCTGGAACAGTCTTAGCTGAGGATCAGACCTCAAAAGTAATGTCAATATAGCAGGAATTCATAGGTACCATCTTATTTCCCCCCCCCTTTTATTCAGAATTAATTAAGGATATTTGGTTGTTGTTGATTCATATTGATGGTATCCAAAAATATTCTTTTACAGGAAAGAAAGAATGCTTAATCCATGCTGTTATTGCCCTACAGATTGCATATCATTCTTTTTTCTGTATCAAATAAAGATATTCTATTTGAACATAAATATTGTTTGCATTGGATTATTTTCTCTGTTGTGCTATATAATGCAAAAAAAATAAATAAAATCCCAATGAAGACAACTTCAAGTCACAGACTATTGCATTCAGCCATTCATTTACATAATGGGTGTTACAGATTGCATATTTAAAAATCACTTTTGATCACCATGAAACTCATTTTTTTAAAAAAAATCATTACAACATGACACATGAATTCTCATTAAAGTTCTAAATATTACATAAGCTAAATTAAATAATACATTTCTGTTTAAGCAAACACACAAATTGGTGGTGATATTAGTATACAGATGTTGCTTAGTAATCAGTATGTTCAAAAATCAACACAAAAGCGTGTTCAGCAAAGAGAACATTTAGGACAGGTCATCCATTTGACAGGTTCTCAGGATAAGCGCTTCCTGAAACCTATGATGTTCACAGCTTATAAACCTATCATGGAATAGCACATACACAGTTATAATGAACTAAAATCAAAAATTGAAAGCAGAAACTCTGAAAATAAGGTCACACACTCAAGCACAGAATTAGATGTGCTAACCCAGCGGTTCTCAACGTTTGTGTGACGGTGACCCCCTTCACACAAACGTTATGCGCAGGCGCGGCGCGCAGGTGCGGCACCGCCCCCAAAGGCGCGGCACCGCCCCCATGCACGGCACGCATGCGGCACCGCCCCCGGAGGGGAGAAAATGGCGGATCGCCGCCTTTGGCGACCCCCGAAAAATGGTTGATCGACCCCAAATGGGGTCGCGACCCATAGGTTGAGAACCGCTGTGCTAACCAAAGAGAGAAGCAACCTAGAACTAAGGAGAAACTTCCTGACAGAACAATTAACCAGTGGAACAACCTGCCTCCAGAAGCGGTGAATGCTCCAACACTGGAAGTTTTTAAGAAGAGACTGGACAGCCATTTGTCTGAAATGGTATAGGGTTTCCTGCCTGAGCAGGGGATTGGACTAGATTACCTCCAAGGTCCCTCCAACTATTATTATTATCGATCATCGCACAGTCAGCCAGATGTTCAGACTGGATTTGGCATTTTGTCTACCTATCGAGTCCTTACCCAGGACCTGGGATAGGCAGATGTGGATGTTTGATGGTATTACAGATATCGTCGCAGGATGGAAGCAGTTCCTAGTAAGGCCGCCTTTTGCAATTGACTAATAGCGAATTTGTCAATGCCAATGGTGTTCAAGTGGTGCTCCAGTTGTTTTGGGATTGCACCCAAGGCGCCTATTACTATTGGTACTACCTCTTGCTTGCTTTTGCCACAATTTTTCTATTTCTATTTGTAGGTCTTTGTATTTTGTTATCTTCTCCAGTTCTTTCTCTTCTATTCTGCTATCTCCAGGCACTGCCACGTCCACTATCCAGACGTTTTTGTCTTTCTTATCGACAATTGTTAAGTCTGGGGTGTTATGTTGCAGGTGCTTGTCTGTTTGAATTCTGAAGTCCCAGAGCAGTTTAATTTTATCATTTCTATGACTTTCTCTATTTTATGATCCCACCAGTTTTTGCTTACAGGCAAATGATATTTTTTGCAGATCTTCCAATGCACCATTGTTGCTACTTTGTCCTGCCGCTGCTTGTAATCAGTCTGTGCAATCTTCTTGCAACAGCTTACCAAGTGGTCCACTGTTTCTTCAGCTTCTTTGCATAGGCGGCACTTACTGTCTGTTGCTGTCTTCTCAATTTTGACTTTGTATGCATTTGTCCTTAAGGCTTGGTCTTGTGCAGCCAGAATTAGTCCCTCGGTCTCTTTCTTCAATTTTCCTGCTCTTAGCCATTGCCAGGTCTTATTATTATCTGCTTTCCCAGCTATTTTTTTCATGTATTGGCCATGTAGTGCTTTGTCTTCCCATGCCTCTATTCTGTTCTTCATTTGGTCTTTCTTGTAGGCCAGTTTGGTCTCTCCAGTAGTTAGTAAGCCTTCCTGATATACTAATTTCAGTGCATCTTCATCATTGTTCTTCAGATATTCTTCCAAAGCCATTTTTTCTTCTTCAACCATCTGATGTACTTGTAGCATTCCACGCCCACTTATTTGCCTTGGTAGATAAAGTCTATCAATGTCACGGCGTGGATGAAGGGCATGATTCATTGTCATTATTTTTCTGGTCTGCCTATCCATTGCTTTTAGTTCTGCTTGGGTCCAGTCCACTATTCCAGCTGTGTACCTAATAACTGGGATTGCCCAGGTGTTGATTGCCTTTATGGTATTTCCTCCATTGAGTTTGGATTTTAAGATCTTCACTCTCTTGATGTATTCACCTCTAATCTTTTTCTTGACTTCAGTGTGCTTGATGTTGTCAGCTTGAAGGATACCCAAGTATTTTAGTACTCTTCCTCATCCAGACTCTTAATATTGTTTTCGTGGGGCATCTTGATTCCTTCAGTTTTCATTATTTTTCCTTGTTTGATAGTAAGTGTGGCACATTTGTCCAAGCCAAACTCCATTACAATATCTTGGCTATATATACGGACCGTGTTGAGCAGCGATTCTATTTCAGATGATGTTTTTCCATACAGCTTCAGATCATCCATATAAAGGAGGTGGGATAGTCTGGCAGATGTTTTTGATGTTTGATAGCCATGTCCTGAGTTATTCAGTATTGTTGACAGAGGAAACAGTGCAATAACAAATAGTAATGGTGATAATGAATCTCCTTGAAATATTCCTCTCTTGATATTAACCTCTCCCAGTCTCTCACCATTGATCTGCAACTGTGTCTTCCATTGTGCCATCGATCTTTGCACAAATTTTCTGATGTTTCTACTGACTCCTGTTATTTCTAGGCACTTGATTATCCAATCATGTGGCAGAGAGTCAAATGCCTTTTTGTAGTCAATCCATGCCACATTCAGGTTGGTCTTCCTTCTCTTGCAGTTTTCCAAGATCATTTTGTCTATTAGGAGTTGATCTTTTGTTCCTCTGCTATTGGGGCGGTTTCCTTTCTGCTCGGGTGGAAAGAGATTGTTTTCAACTAGATGCTGTTGTACTGCATCAGCTACCACACCAGTTAGTAATTTGAAAGTTGTTGGTAAGCAGGTAATTGGCCTGTAGTTACCTGGTGTTGCCCCTTTTGCTGGATTTTTCATTATTAGGTAGGTTTTCCCAGTTGTTAGCCACTTTTCAATTTCTCCTCCTTGTAGTATATTGTTGAACTGCTTGGCAATGAGTGGGTGTATAACAGTTAGATGTTTCAACCAAAACCCATGCAGTTCATCTTCACCTGGTGCTGACCAATTTTTGATTTTCTTTGCTCTTTTTTCTACCATTTTTGTTGTTATTACTAGTTCTTTCATTTCAACTTCTGTTTTATTTGCATCCACCTCTTTTAACCAAGCCGCATCCTTGTTGTATTTCTTTGGGTTATCCCATATCTGCTTCCAGAACTGCACTGTTTCTTCCTTGTCAGGTACTGACTGATTCCTTGCAGTTTCTCCATTGATGGATTGGTAGAAATGTTTCTGATTGGATTGAAATTGGAGGTTCTGCCTATAGTTTGCAATTCGAGCTTCATATCTACTGATTTTCCTGGCTATAGCTGTTATTTGTTGCTTTATTATTTCCAGTGCTTCCTTGATCTTCCTTGTTTCTAAGTGGTATTTCTTGATTAGGTATTCTTT